GACCACCTGGCCGCAGCCAATCCTGTGTCTCTCTGCAATCCAATGGCATGCGGGAAAGGAAGGCAGCCAACCAGAGAAGGGCATGGATGAGATGCAGTATATAATGAGCGGCCTGGCCAGCGTGGAGGACTCGGATGGAAGGCGCCTGACGCGTGGCTCTGGCTTCGGATTGGTCAATAAAGCCTGTTCTGTTGTACCGGTCTTTTTCCTATTAGGGCTCGGGCATTCTACAGTGGCGTCGGATTAGGGCGCAGACATGTTGGACCACCTGGCCGCAGCCAATCCTGTGTCTCTCTGTGTTCCAATGGCATGCGAGGAAGATAAGCAGCCAACCAGAGAAGGACACGACTGAGGTGCAACTTATAATGAGCGGCGTGGCCAGCGTGGAGGACTCGGATGGAGGGCGCCTGACGCGTGACTCTGGCTTCTGATTGGTCAATAAAGCCTGTTCTGTTGTACCGGTCTTTTTCCTGTTAGGGCTCGGGTATTCTACATTGGTGGCAACGGATGCGTTCGAATAACGCAAATCGAACCCCAACCCTTTCTTTTCAGTGGTCAGCACAGGCAAAGACCCTTAAATGCCAGCTGAAATTGTCATGGCCTTCATCCGATGTCCAACAAAGTGGATCCATAGACATTGCCCGGGATTAGGTCTACCGCAACTGAAGGAGCATTGGCAATCAGCGACGACGACTTGGACAGTGGAAGCCAGCTGGACTGCATCTGCGAAGGACCTTCAATGGATGATGAGTATTTCCTGCAAGTCTACAAGAGCAAAGTCCCTCGTCAGCCATTCGCATGGGCCACTACCCTGCCAGATGTGGGGTGCAGGGAGTGTCGAACTGGATATTTTATCAATACCGAATATCAACAGCAGTTCGATGAACCAAGCCAAAAGCTGAGGACAACTTCATTCCTGAGGGGGAGACAGTGTGGTGTGGCGACGTCTGAAGACGCAGACACATTGTATAACGCTGGTCTCAGCCGATCCTCTGTCTCTCTGCGTTCCAATGGTATGTTCGGAAGATAGGCAGCCAGCCAGAGAAAGATGCGAATGAGGAGCAGTATATATTGAGCGGCGTGGCCAGCGTGCTGTACTGGGATGGAAGACGCCTGGCGTATGGCTCTGGCTTGTAATTGGTCAATAAAGCCTGTTCTGTTGTATTACTCTTATCCATACTTGGGCTCGTTTATTCGACATTTGTTAGCACAATGAACGAATCGTCTCGCCTAGTCAGTGGATCTTTCCTAATCCAATTGAATTAACATAATAGATATCATTTACCACCTCTAAATTTTAGTTCTCCGCCAGATCTAATAACGAATCAAATAGAAAATTAGGACACTTAAATTACACACAAATTTGAAGCGATATCAAAGGCGTAACTATTTTTACCTGACATTAACATTATTGTAAAAGTAAGCCATCCGAGAATCATCATCTGTTTATTGTATAGTTTGCTTATAGTCTTGATAAAAGGACTATTTGTCTAATATATAAACGAAGATTTTCTCTAGGGCCCTATTCTTCTGGCTACTTAGCACTTCGCTGGATCCGTCGCAACGATTACACACTGGCTAAATAATTTAGGGTACTCAGTGTCAACAGTAATATAGGTAGCTAAAGAACTAGGTGTCCCGCAAATTAGATGTAACGCAGTGAGCATAATTAAAAGGCGTGAGTCCCAATATTTTAATAAATCATGCCATAAATTGGAACACTGTAACTGTTGACTCTACCATAATGGAATTTCGTACATTAAAAAAGTGGGAGACAAATTTTCGCGTTAATTAACACAAAATATTTGCTTTGGCTTGGAATGCAAGAAGTGATTGAATAGTACTTATTTGTGAATTTTTCTACATTAATTATTCAACACGCTGTACAAAACCAACCTGGAAACCGGATCTTGACTAAAATCAAAGTTCGGTTGATTTTGTATTCTTCTGCATCATTTTGAAAAAAAAGAATAGGGCGAGTTGTATAACAATCAAATACATTAAATTAGCACATATTCATACAAGGAGCATATTTTGAGGGGTTATCTTATCTTCCTTCCCAGAATTTTCCTTTGAAGATTTCAATTAAGTTACTTCATATATCTATTTTCCCGAGTTCACCTCTTATTGGCATCGCTAAACCTTCCTCTTTCGCCGCTATAACCCTCTTACAAAATTTTAGTTCCATTGTGTTTGCATGCGGTAGTCTGAAATACTGCAGGTTGTCTATTGCATGCCTGTTGGCATTCCTTGATGGTGTGTCTATCTCATAGTGTCGGGACAATGGTAATCTAAGAATTTATGTCACCGATCAGTAGGGATATTGCAGAGTTACGTGACTCAACAGTTTGTGCAGATGGTTCAATTGAAAAATTTAACACATTAAATTTTAGAACCTCTAACCAGTTTTTTTTGACAATCAGATATTTTATTATTGACTTTCTTTGTGATACTGACCTTTTGTCAAGTTGCATTTTACTAGAGGCCTTCATGCTAAATATCAACTGTATCTTCGTTTTCGGTGAGGTTTCGATGGAATACATAACAGAAGCAAAAAGTCTTCGTGAAAAAATGACCCTAAGTCTGTTCTACGTGCACCTATCTTATGCTAAGCAATTCACCATGAAATATTCAGTAATATGATTTTAGAGTAGATTAAAGGGTAGTACAGAAAGATGTCATCATCACGTTTCTTTCAATGCATGCATGATGATTAGCGCATTCGTAGAAATTATAAATGAGGCGATTATTAATCGAAGACGCGTCCCCAGTACACGTTAAATACCTTATGACGCTAAAACGAACATACACAGACGAAATATCGCAAAGTATCATATTGGCAATTGCATAATGGGTAATATAATTTGATCATTTGATGTAGCACCAATCTCCACATGCAATTCCTTGTTAAATAAAAAAGTAAGCAGATACAATCCAATTGATTCAGGTGAAACCGCTTTTTCTGCAAATAAATTATTGAAACAGAACGCTTGATGAAGCAGACTGAGAGCCGTCAATTCGTCAAGTTGACAATTGCCTTCCTTAACGTTCTCAAGTCGACCCAAAACTTTGACAAAAACCCGCCAATATCGCCGATTCAATGCAAAGCAGCTGCCACAAGTATGTGTTCTGCCAAAAACAAGTATCACAGGTTTGCACGAGAAAGTATCGGGGGTCAGACATTACATTAATGTAGTCTCACGTCGGGTGAGGATTTTCAAGAGCGTCAGCGACCAAATATGAAAAGTAATAAATATAAATTACCACATGCACATGGATCTAGTTGCCCAAGTCAAATTAAATATCGCACTGAACCATCCTCCTAAAATTTAAGCCTGGTGTGCATATCGGGATTTCAGCCTCCGTACACGAAGTCGCAAGTATATTCGGTCTCTCACAAAGCGCCAAATAGTCACATCACTCAACGAACCTCGTTCGTGAAGGGTAACGCCTCGCGTAGCCCCTAAACATTGCCTCGAAAAATCCGCATGATGGAAGACCACAGTCTTCACAACCAGTAAGTGGATTCCCATTCCTTTGATTCTGCTGTCGGAAGCTAAATAAGTAAAACAGGCTAGGAATGCCACTTAAACTGTGTTTGGGCATATGAAGCTCCTCCACGAATGGAAATGCCATGAAGATTACACGAACCAGTGATACCCAATGAAATAAAACAAACGTGCATCATTCAAAAAGATTGATTTAAAACCACAGAGATGAAATATACATTGTGTACATCGGAAGGGTCAAGTAGAGCGACACTAGAGGTCAATTCTGGGGCGTTTTTTGGCAGGTAGAGTGCTAAGGTCGTTGTCAGTTGGTTTATCGACCCCACCAAAGGCCGCTCGGACGGCTCGCCGTGCGGCACGAGCCTCGCGTTTGCGCGAGAGCGATGTCGTCGACCAGGCGTAGAGACTGGACATGCCACCCGCGACATCGCCACCGAGGAGCTTCGTGGAAAGCGTCGCGTCTGTTGACTCTATCAGGCCAATTAGGTGATCCGCTGCCGACAATTCAACCATTGGAACACCTACAAGCTTCTGCATTGCATCGCGGGCGGTCAGTTCACCTGAAAGGAGTGCCCGACGCATCTTCGCCTACATAGATGAAAAGTATATGTTAGAGCAACTATTTCATCGTTTCAACAAAGATATCCAGAATATCGAAGCAACAAGGTAAAGATAAACCTAGTAACGCAAGCAAAACCTTGCGTCAAGATAACTGAACGATTTTTGAAGGAAGAAAGCGTTGAATGGGAATGCGTGTTTGTAATGTAACAGCTCTAGGCTAGTAACCTATCATTAGAAAACTACAAAACACGAGAGAACCTCTACTTCCAGGACCACTTATTCACTCATCGACCCGCGAAAAGCCACGTGGCACCTCTTCAACTACACAGAGAACGCAAATCAGACTAAAACACGCATTAGTCCGTTTGAATGAAACTACCAAGATTTCATGAAGCAAACTAAATACGTAGATGTTGAGGCAATGGACGTCGAAGTCTTTACAACAACCCATAGACCGATACCTGTGCCCTTCGCCTTCGCGCCTTGGCCCGAGTAGAATCGATTCGGCTCAGACGACCGGACAATTTGCGACTTAGCGAAACCCCATCGACAGCCTCGGCGTCCTCGGGCAAGGCGACGCTGGATGTGGCCAGGAAGGCCAATCGTTCGCGCTGCTTGGATTCGCGAGCCAACAAGCGTAGGGCGCAGCGCAAGTATAGCATGCCTGGAGAACTCTCATCGCCTCGAGTCTTCGTTTCCCGCGCGAGCAGAGAAGAAATCTCGGCGGGACTTGGCCTGGGAAGTGTGAGGAGAAGGCCCACAGTCAACTTGATCGCCAGTATCCTCTAAAAAAGAACGAAAATTATTACGAACAGCAAGGAGGAGAAAACGCGGTGCTTTACCCCATGTCAACAGAGGGGCTGCTTCTAGACAAAATCTCTCAAAAATACAATATCTAGATGCACTTGTGGCGGTGCCCAGCGTTAATGTTACACTTAGACCAGAATTGAAAACATCATGAAGGTGTCCAGTCTTTGAGACCTCAAAATGGCAATCGAGCGCAAGTTGCCGTACCTGATCATGCATGTACAGTGCTAGCCCTAGGATATCAGAACGCGACTTATTTCACTGAGAGTTAAGTGCGGGATTCACGCATGTTACACACCAGTAGCCCACTAAAGCGACTCCTTTACTGGCCAATTTTATGAAGTTAAAGGGGTGTGGTGCTTGGGAGGAACTTATACCTGATTGAAAGACGATTTTCTGTTGTTGAGTTCATCGAGAGCGAGACGGTTGGCTGTTTTGAAAATCCTCAACACCTGTTTCGTGGCTCCCAGGGCATGAAGGAACTGCCCGAGGCACACCAAATTCGACAAAACCTGGTTGGGGAGGGGAGAGAGAGAAGGGAGGTAGATGTGGGCATGAGGGAAGAGTGGGAGGTGCATGAAAGAGACCTACCGCATTCGCGTAGTCCTCGGACATCGGACCCGAGGAGGAGTCAATTTCGAATTGCCGCAGCGCGTCGGACAAAAGGGACGTCAACTAAAATAAGGAACATTCTTGATGAAATGTAGGGTGGACGAAGCCGGAAACAGAATGAATAGCGGGACTACAGACACGGAAAATAACTAGCGAAAAGCATGAGCACAGGGCAATGCACCATTCACGGAGATATGGGCGAATATGACGGAGGCCTGCTGAAGTCAGTGGTGAAACGAAGCTAGATTTCATACCATCTTTGAAATAGATAGTGAATTATGTATACAGACGGTCGTGAGTTGTATTGCACAGTGAGGAATAGCCATAAGTCATTCCACAAAAGAGACGCGGCTGCTTTCTCTAGGGTGCCACCGATTCCTACTTGAGCCCAAAATCTGGACGGGATTACCGCCATTACTTTAGAATGCCGGATCTACGTAACTCCGTTAGTAAAAAAACTGTTCGAAAAGCTGAGAAAAAGCCTACCCGAACGGAAACGTCTTTGCACTTGGCCAAGAAGTCGGATGCGAATGGAAGAGGCGTCTGCAACTCGCCGTGGCTACTGCACACAGCCACCTCCGCCCTGAGGAGTCTGTTAAAGACGCGCGCAGCCCACTCACGCACTGGACGCGTCGGCGCAAGCAGGAGCGAGCGCATGGCCTCGTGCGCGGGACCCAGCAGTGTGGCGAACTTCACCTCACGCTTGCCCTTCTTCTTCTGCTCGATTTTGAGCAGCGCCTCCCAGATCGGGGCGCAGATAGTCGAGCAGCCTAACTGGGGGTCAGCCGCCGAGAGAAGACGATCAACCAATTGGAGGCCGTGCTCGAGTGTGCAGCAAACTAGCACAAAGTGCAGCTCGGGGGCCTTGTGGAAAAAAGGGCGTGAAATAAAGAGTTAAGCTGCGACGAGATTGGGACAGTTAGAGTCACTTCTTGATCTGTGCAGTACATTCCACAGCCTCACGTAACACAGCCCTCTACTTGCCACACGCGAGTCTTGCTACAATGCTATCAGCAAATGTTATGAAACCAAGACAATATCGACAATTTGCGAAAAAAAGATACCAAAAACTGATTCTTAGAATCGCCTTTTTACGTACCAAGCTAAATGCGATCGATAGGGCATACAAATTTTTTGCCTCAACAAGGAGTAAGAGTTTGAATGCACCAATCAAAGTACTTTCAAGTGTGGAGAACTAACCGATCCCACACATCTAAATGTCGAATCGGTTGACGAAATTAGACACTTACAGACTTTGAGGGCCGGAGTGAACGTGGTTCCGACTTGCTTGAGCTCAGGTTGATGCACGATTCAACAACCCGGATTGCCTCACTAGACGCTTTCTCGGGTTGGCTGGGTTCAAGGTCGACATCAACATCCTCCTCACCATCTGCTTCCTCTTCTTCTTTCTCTTCCTCGTGATCTGATTGGGGTTCGCTTTCGAGACCATCCGGCTCCTCATCTACGTCTAAATCTTCCTCTTCTTTGTCTGAAAGGTTGCCGAATGCAGCCGATTCAGCAGTAGGTTCATCAGCGTCCGTTGCAGTGAGCCAATCACCATCATCGTCATTTCCACCAGCGTTATCGGTTATATCGGCTATAAAAAGGGAAACAGATGACAGACAAAGGAAGGGTGAAACAATTTCAAAGTGACCTTTATTTAAAATACTAAATATGAAAATGCACTTCGCTATGGTGATTTCATCAATAGGTATAATGTCAGAAATGCGTGAAGGAATTCGGGAATCATTCATGGACGATTTGCCTTGCCTTTTTTTCAACAGACTAAAAGCAACCCTACCTCCAGCATTGTAAATTGAGCGCAAAATCCACCCTTTACTAAATGACTCACCAGGTCTGACCAAATCAGTTTCCTCGGTTGAGCGAATGACATCCTTAAAGAGGTGAGAGTGGGAGCTGCGAAGGCCTGAGAGCTGCTTTTGCGACTCCGTCAAAATTTCCGTTCCCAAGAAGGAGAGAAGCGTATCACGATGCTTTTCGACCGAAAGGCACTCCTGGGAGTCGAGAATCACTGATACCATCTGGAAAAGAAATTCAATTCAGTCTACTAGGCACCATTGAGAGAATTGCGATTATGTCAACAGTTTTTACGGTTTTGGAGTGCACTAGAACGTCCAACCGACTCTCTAAACGAAACTCCACATAATGCCGCCATTTTGTTAAATGCAGGTGGTATTCAGTGGAATTAATACCGTCCTGGTGGCAAAAATAAGTTGAAGAGGAAACGCTTCCAAAATACCAGTTATGAGATTAATCGATTGCGGAATGGGCAGCGGTGCGTGAGTCAACTTTCGCAATGTTTACAGCTTTCGATTCAAATTAGTGTCTTAATGTGCATGAAAAGTTCTAGCGACCAGCAGTCATTCATCTGCGGACCCACCTGCAGACCCAACAAGCGTGCAGAAGCTCTCGTGTCGGCAGGGGCCCGAAGGAAGGCGAGGAGGTATTCATTGAAATGCGCCACGGCCTTTTTGGCAGGAATCCTCGTAAAGAGAAGGCGCACGAGACCGTATAGGGCCAGACGCACGTCTAGCGAGGTCTCTCGTTCAATGGCAGCCCCTACGGCCAGTATGATGGTCTCCTCTAGTCCTCCTTGGAGGAGACTGGCCACGGGGAATTCGGACACGATTGTGGAGAGAAGAGCTGCCACCGAGGCACGCCCGATCTCCCTGTTGTGCTCCAGCTGACGCAAGAGGAAACCCACAAAACCAACTATGAAGCGACGCTGGTGTGGGTAATTGAGTAAGAAGGCCAGTAGACAGCGTCTGCAGTCACGGCGAACTGTCTCGTTAGATGATGTTATGACCATGCGTTGGAGTCGCAGCATTAGTCGCGACAGACGTCGACCACCACCGGCACCAGCAAACGAAAAATCTGTGTCACTCTTTTTCGCCACAACTAAGCCGCTGGAGAGGATCGTGTCCTCTGAGGAATCGTTAATGTTGTCGAAACTTATGACTTTATTGGAGTCATCGTCAGCAAGGGGATCACGCAGTCGCCGGTTCAGAAATGCAGTCAGTAAGGAGAGGGCCGGTGACGTTGCGGCGTCACGCACGATTTCCATCTCAATCGTACCAAATAGGATGGCAAGCTGGGCGTTTGAGAGGGTATACTTGGTCTGGTGTTGGATCAGCGCCGCCAGAGCCGCGTAGAGCCCGTGTGCGAACGACTGCGCCACACTGTCCCTTGCAGTCGCATTCGTGCTCAACAGACCGGTGTGTTTGTCCACCAGGCCAAAAAGAGCCCTAGCCACGTCGGGCAGAAATGCCTCAAAGCACTCTAGATCGAGATGGAAAAATATCCTAACACAACGAACAGCACCAGCAAGAACAGCGAGACTCTTGGAGGTGTTGAGAGTAGCCAGAGTGAGTGGAACCGCATCAGACAGAAGAGTAGCGTCTTCTGGCCGCGTAGTGGGCGAAAGAAGGCCCAGTTTGACTAGACCAATAATAGTCTGCAGGCCGCAGGCAGAGAGGATATCTTGATGGGCAGAATCGGTCTGTGTGACATGCAGATTCTGTGTGGAGAGTTTCGGCTCCGCAGGGACTTCGAGGTAGTCGGGGCGCTTCTCCAGAAGCTGGGTACCAGCCTTGCCCCAACCCGGGCGGTAGAGTGCCTCGAGACCGCGCTTCAACACAGGTGTAGGCTTCTTATTGGTGTCGACTGATGCCGTACTGACGAAAGTGAGGGCTAAACGGCCGAGAGCACAAGGTGGCACAAGCATTTTGGGGTGAAGGACACCGTATTTTGTGGGGATTCGATTGATAGCTGCCTGAAGGCGGGCCAGAGCCCGCTTGCGAAAACGCAGATGGCTTATCAACTTCTCATCCGACTTAACTTCACCTACACAAAACAACACAATGGTTATTACATGACGAAACTGAACTAATTCTGCCCAAATATAAAATGCGACCAAAACAATAGTCCAGGGGAAGAACAAGTAGGAAAGCAATGTTTTTAAAGCTATCACATGACCAAATTTGTTTAGGTGAATGACAGATTACCCGTTGACTGATCACCGCCTTGCTGAAGACTCTCGTTGGATATAATCCGTCCTGCCGCGACTAAAGCGGTTGCCGTTCGCAGGTCCGTGAAAACTCGTCCCAACATCGACTGTGAACAGAAGCGGAGGAGGGCAGGCAGACCGATTGACGCCTTCGGACCACCCCGAGCCTCGGGGAGATCAGTTGAAGACGGGACAGGGAGAGTTTGAACATTAAAGTCTGAAGTTGAGCCCTTGTTGAAGGCCTCTCGTCGGGAATCCGTCTGCTCACCCAGTTGTCCTGCAATCTCATCAAGGTAGAGACGCAGCAGAATGTAACACACGTTGTCCAAGGTCGCCCTACAACCACTACCACCATGCACCGCTGACACCTCACCCCTATCCATCGCCGCAGTAAAGTCAAAGAAGATTCGATGCAGAGCGGCTAGACGAATGGTCATCGCCGCGTAGCCACGCGACAGCTCCCTCGCCAATGTGGAAAAAATCGAGTCCAGGCCTTGACCCGGACCGACCATGATAGCGACTTTCGAGAGAGCCAAGACGGCCTCGTGTCGTGCCTGTGATGGAAGCTTCTTAGAAGGACGAAGGAGGTCACACACACGAAGAACGAGATGAGGCAGTCGCGATTCCAGATGGCCTTTGGGAAGACGACGCAAGAGAGTGACAAGAGCCACCACAGCACTCGTTCGCAGATAAGTCGACGATTTGCCTTGTCCTTCTGCCTTGTAGGAGGGAATTATGTGAGCCTGGAGGCGAGCAACGACGGTCAACATGAAGTCTACAGCCTCCTCACACGGTTGATAGCCGTCTAGAATAGCCAGGGTGTACTTCAAAGCAATCGTAGACTCCTGATCGAGGTTGGAGAGTGCAGATGCCAACAGCTCCCTGTAAGGGATCCATGCAAGTCTTGAGGCAAGGGCTCGTACAGCGTCGAGACAAGTTGAGACAATCTGACGCGACTCCAGACCAAGGCTTCCAGCCCCAGACAACTCCGCCACCATTTCTTGGCGGATGAAAAAGAGCAGAGTGGGTAGGAAAATGCCGCGAAGATGACTAAGAGGCATCACGAATGGAGCTGCCTCGTCGCCTTCTTTCTTCACGGTACACCGCGCAATCGCCTTCTTCGAGGCAATGGTGAGGGGGTTGTGAAGGAAAAGTGCAAGGCGTCGAATCGCAAACAGCTGGCGAGCTGACGTTCCGCTCTGGAGATTAACGTAGAAACACACGGGCTGCTGGTCGGCGGTGAGGGAATCATCGGCGAGCAGGGCTAGCGGTGCGAAAAACCGGTGTGATGCGCCAAACGACTTCACCAGGCCCGTGAGCAGACGGAAAAAGTGGAGCCGCCTGGGCCCGACGGCCTGTTTAATGTTGCGACAGAGCCCTGAAAACACAAAAGAGACATTGAGCAGCGGTTACTTCGAACACCGATCCCCGAGTCCACATGAAATAAATCCGTGCTACTTTTTCGTGACAGCTTCGTCTGGGTTTACAATGATTCGAAGATAGCTTGAAAGTTAGGACCAAGTTCTTTGTTAATCAAATGACAGATGCGAATTTAGTACAACCACAAGGCCCGGTCGGATTTGGAGAACATCACACACCGTCAAGCGTTCAGATGTGTCGCAAAGTGTGCTGCAGTGGCGATAAAAACAATAGATTAAGTTGAAAATCAGACATTAAAACGCCGCCTAACAATGCATTCACGCGCACTGAATCAACATCGTCCATCGCTTACCACGCTTTTCTATTGGCACGCAAGAGGCAAGAGTAAATGGACAAAATGTGCTCAAAATGTAGCTCACCTGGCCAAAGAGCCTGAATGATCAAATTCTTAGTGAGTACACCGTACACCTTCTTTTGCGTCTCGTCGTCAGATTTAAGGCCGGCAGCGAGAATCCGTGACAAACGCAGAATGTAATCCAAAGCGAGATCGCGAAGCTGAATTTCCGCAGTTTGAATGGTGTACACGGCGTTGTGAATTCCCGCGAGATGGATGAAGTAGTTTAATCGATCACCAGTGGAGTGCAGTGGGAGGTCACAAAGTCCCAAGAGAGCGTTCAGAGCAGCTTCGCGTTGGACAGCATCAATCATCTCCAAATGGCTGGTGCTCCACGAGTTTAACTAAGGCGAAAAATGAACAGGGAAGGTGTGAAATGTTCAACTTCGAAATCAAAGAACGCACATCAATCAAAAACAACAAATTGTGGAATCAGGTATTGGAAACCGCCGTGTGAAACAGCTGCGCGCCGAGGTCAGAGATAAGGCGTAATAGCATAAATCGATGTGAGGTTTCACTTAAAAGATACGAGCGGAACGCACCATGCAGAGAAGCTTATATAAAGCGTTGCGTTCAAAAGCAGCTCCCGGGGAAACGGGATTGGCTTCGAGGCGTTGAGCGCGAATCGCGCGCAAAGCCGTGAAGACGGGCTCGGGCAGGTGGCTGGCGAGGCCCGGTTTAACGCTCGCCACGTCGTTCAGGGAGGACTGCAAAATGCTGCTGGGCTGTGCGGCGTGGGCGATGCGGGACGCGGCAATGCCCGCGGCGCTGCACAAAAGGGCTCGACTTATGCGCGACTCAACCGTGGAAAAGAGCTCCAGTACTTTGCTTCAAGTGCAAACACAGGAAGTAGAGTCAGACAGCGAAAGTTAGGCAGAATTAACAGTTGCTTACCAGATATGTTTAGTAAATTTCGTGCGACACAAAAATCTGCAGGGTCTGATGTGTAGAAAAATGCGAGAGGGTTTTCTGTTACACCGGATTTTGTCACTAAAGCATGCTATTGATTTCAGTTAAGACTAGCAGAATTAGGAGACGTATCGAGGGGGGGAAACCAGAGTTACCGAACACCAAGAGCTTGGTTTTGGGGCACACAAATGCAAATAGTAGAGAAACTATTGCCATAGCTTGGCCGGAGTATTCAAGTGGATCACCTATACTGTCTGCCGTATGATTGAAGCATTACAGAACTCCGACTCCGTGGTGCCAACTAATCGGACTGGGGCAATAGACAAAAAACACTTCGATCGGTTTTAGTCTGGCAGGTAAATCCGCCCACTACTTGGTGCGAAGTGGGAACAATGCAAGAAAAACCAACACTTACCAAAGATGCGCCTCCATGTCGTCGGTGACTTCCATAAGACGGCAAAGCAGCCGCAGTACCTCAGCCTCGGTGGTTTCTCGGGCAACTTCGACGGCTTCTGACGGAGGCAGTCGACGGATATACAGTCCATCGGTTTCTCGGCCTTTTGCTTTCCGCTTTTTGACAAACAGGCTGTTGCCACCGTGGGAAGCCGGCTTGACCAGAGCCTTCACGAGGAACGGCAACAGGCCGGACAGCAGACGACTTGCTTGATCCGTGGACATAACGTCCGCCTGAAATTATACCGGCACATGGTGTAAATGTGTGTTAAAACAACAAATTTGAAAATTTATACTTATTTTAGCATCCGCTAGAAGGCGATGGGAAAAAATTGACAGGCCGGGCAGACACTGGTAAATGTTGGAGGCTAGGTGGTTTAAAATATAATTCTGTTAAGGCGGCCACAGGACGGTCTTAAAATTTAACGAACAAGACCCAGTTACACTCAAGTTCCACACAAGGGTAGCATTAAAAAGAAAACCATTGAGGTGCTGAAAAAATGAGATAAAGGAACAATTTGTTCAAAAGGATCGAATTGTAAGGTAAATTACATGAAGTTTGGCGGTGGGAACTGCCAAGGGACAGGGAATACGATAGACCGAGGACAAATCAAATCGCCAAAATTTTGCCAGTGTCAGGTGCGGTTATGTGAGTAGAATCACATTCTGAGGTGACCTAAATTGCGTGGAGTAACACACGAGGCAACCCGACAGTTTGGGAAATGTAGAGACAAAGTACGACCCCCGTGTTAGCTTCATTGTTTTCTGCGACTACCAAGGTGATCTGCAGTCTGGGTAATTCAGACGTAAAGTAGTCTTCTAGGTCATTTGTCCAGTATCAACATGTCGTCTAAATAAATTCCATGGAATGTGAATGCTCGCAGGTGGTTATACGAGATGGCACGTGAAATCGGCGTCTTGAAATCACCAACAAACCAGATGTAATCGACTTGCATCAACTCGAATACGAGTACAACGATGAAACAGCTGTGGAGTGGTGTGTTAAACAGGTAACCCGGGAGGCCTAATCGTTGCATACAAGCCAGTGCACAAGTAAGCGGACCTGGGAGGTGACACCTTCCTGCGATTGCGGCACAGCAAGGTAACCAAGGAGACGGAATTCGCGTTGAAGCCACTCCGAGGAGGTGGAATTCAGGGCCTTCCGGGCTTGAGAAGAAGAAAGAGAACGCAACGCGAGCAGCCTTGAGTAAAGGCAGTCGATCAGACTTGCGTGGAAGGGCAGCAGTATACGACGACCGGTCTCTTGGACATCTGAAAGTACAAGAAACAGGCGAATAGCGGAGGGGATTTTCAGGTGGATTTGAAACGAACTCTGAATCCCTAGTGAGGACTTGTCCCTCTCTGGACTTTAATATTATTAAGAATTGTATGGGCTTAAGCCGCATGGGTAAGCCTAATTTAACGTGAATGCAGGCTCTTCAACGCTGACACTTTTAGTGGTCCTCATTTAGTGTACTGATATCCACTGTTTCTACAATCGCTCAGCAAGTAAAGAAATAAGAATTTAATCATCCAATGAAAAAGGAATTACTGCGTCGACCTAGACCACGCACATCCATTGATGTCCCCCACTAGACAAGAAGAGGGAGCAGAAATAGTATTTCGACAAAATATGCGAAAACCGTGGAAGCGTTTCAGGTCCTAACAGTTGCACGCCAGGTGGCCCCTCATTCAGTCACCAGATCAGCCGATTTTTCATACACAAATGTGCGAATTCTTGGCGAATTTTACCACCAGCCAACTTCTCACACCAACAACAGTGTTCCACAAACACCACAAATTCACAAAAATTTCGTGAAAGCCGCACGCAGTCGATTTGTTAATGAACAACCAAGGCTCTGACCGTTTTCCACCGCCGAACTGCAACCACGAGGGGTTGATGTCGTGAAAGGTTGATTCATTAAACCGCGCATTCTAGAAACCCCCCCTCTGAACGCCAAACTTGAACCTCATCGATTCCCAGGTCCACCTCAGCCATGGACTTGATTAAGGCCACGTACCAACGATGAGGCTTGAATTTAATCAACGATACCGATTAAATTATGAAAGGAGTCGGGCATTCTGACAATCAACTCTATTTAATTTAAACGACGTGGATTTAGTTGATAAAAAGACAAATAATTGGAAAATCGTACCTGGAGAGAAAATCAGATTCGTGATGGTTTCAATAACGACCCTGGCGACTGTCTTGGAGAGGTTGGGGTGCTGCAGCAGCTTTACCAAGTCGGAGAGCAGCTCTGGCACAAAGAGGGCTCCGACAAGATACTCACTGCCCGATTGACTCCACACACCAATCAACTTGAGCACCATGTGGCCAGGTGAGGCCACAGCAGACGTTCCAAGTCGATGTGGTTCCAGGACTAGCTCCCGCACAAGTTTCACCCGCTCCGGTGTCCAAAAGGCCTCCAAATCTATTCCGGGTGCAGAGAAGAGGTGCAGCAGGAGCTTGACACCGGTCTTTCGAACGACCTTGACCTGTTTTGTGTGTGGTTTCTTCTCATTTTCATCCAATGCAATCGTGTTGGTAGTGGAGATCATAAGCAAAGAGATCTCGAAAAGTGCTGGTGCATGAACGGAGGCGTTTGTGTTGGCAGAGACGTCTAGGTGTGGGGCAATGCCGCCCAACCGATGACCCATGTAGGAGAGCAGCTGATCGACAACGTTACAGATTCTGAAAGACATTTACAAAAAAATTCAACGGGAGCCCAATAAGTTCCAGAAATTTCCAGAACAGGTTAGCACACAAGGGGCTAGATTATTTCGTTACTATATCCGTGGCACAGGACTTGAACATATGCACATTAAGAATGCATCATGATGACAGAACGTGGGCAACTTACGCCTGTAATCGGCTCCAATTTGGCTTGGCGCTAGCGCTGATGTCAGAGAACAACAAAGAACGCTTTGAATAGTCGACCGACAAGGCAGAGAAGAAGGATTCAATGATGAGTGAGAGAAATAGACCCAGTTCTTCATCAGAACATCCGGCAAGATTTGTAAAGATCGCTGAAGCCAGATTCTCCTTTGACAGATGCAAGCGACCATATAGAATCCTGAAAAGAGACAATTACTGTAGTAGTTCAAGCGACAGGAAGAGCACGCGCCCAAACAAAGCACACTAATCGCTATAGGGTCCAGGCAATCCAGATATCCAACTCGATGCTTTCAGGTTAGCAAAGGGACGATGGTGGATCTACTTACGAAGGATTGGTCATATTTAATGATATGAGCAAACAAATTAGTACCTGATTAGTATTTGTGCCACGGCGCGACGATGTTCAGAGACCACAGAAGTGTCGAGTTTGAAAATTCTAACAGCGTCACGGAACGTCTGGAGGTTAAGCACCTTCTCGAAATGCTCTCTATACAACGCAGAAACACGAGGTTAGCTGAAAGGAATGAGTTGTGAAACCGACGACTTGAATCTCCTCACTTGTAAGGCTTCAGTCCGGAGGGAGCGAGTGACAGCCAGCACGTGAAGGCAGCCTGCTGAACTGCTGGTCGTTTGTTGGTGAGCAGCTAAAACAATCAAATAGGGAAGGAAGGAGGGGTGAATCTGCGTAGGAAGCTCTGAACGTTATAATGCCTGCACACACACACACACATGAATTTTCTGGATGCAATTCAACTTTTTGCAGAAATGTTTACTTTTAGCGAACTCAGTTTGCTGTGCGATGCTGTGAGGTTGGTCCGTTTCTCTTGGGAGTTCAACACGAGCATTTACTTGAAATAACTGTGACGCACAACTGCAACCTGGGCGCAGCGTGGAACCATTTTTTTCCTAATTAATAGCCCTATTTACGGAAATCAGCGTAAAATAGTACTGGGGCTGAAAAAGCGCGAACACCCCAGAAATCGGTCGTCGTGTAATCGATTTACTACATGCATAATTGTAATGAGTCTGAAAAGTGACTTGTTGGGGCTTTGCTAACGAACAGAATGGCGACCAAAACATGTTCTTTGGTCTTTGAAAATAGTTGCCTGAGTTTTTGCACACGATGTACCAAATAGTGCTGTTTGAGGATTTTATTAACATTCGAGCTTACCCGCAGCAGTGCCGCAGCCAATTCCTCGTGCTTGTAGACGGAATGTAGGTTCGGCATACGGGCGAAAAGTTTGAGGGCACATATGAGGACGTCTTCGTTGCTCCTGGTTGGTGTCCCATAGAACTCGTCACTAGAGAGATGAGAGAAGAAAGAAAGGTCGTAGAGATACTGTGTGAACAAGGAGTTATGAAAAGAGGGACAGGGGAGTGAGAGAGGTAAATCTTCGACGAAGGAGAGGACTTAGGTACTGAGGTTAACTAATTCCCGATGTGAGATGATCAGTATTGCTAAACAGAAAGTGAGCAAGAATACGAGGAAGCTAGACTACACCTTTGGAATTCAGATTATTACCAGAGGCTAGAACAGTCGCATACGCGAACTGATATTCCTAGAACACACAACAAAGTAATTGGTCAACATTAACCATTTCTACCCGGGCAATAGCCACTTGACAGACACCGTTCCCTCAAGAATTACATTTTTACAACCATGGAGCCGAAGTACCTCGTGGAACGAGAATGTGGCAAAAATAATATGAAGGGAAAAAGTAACGATTAGTGGCCAATAATTGACTTCCCGAGGTCAATGGAAGGCAACAGGGCTAAACGAGTATGAGTGAGCGACAACACCGGACTCACTTGACAAAAGTCAGAAACAAAGGGACCAGCAGGCGGGTGCGTTTGCCGACTTCAATGGGTGTAATGCACCTCCAGAGGTTCAATCGATAGTGCTTCCAATCAGGCGGTCGACGAGTTGAAAAGGAGGTGGGCGCCACATCGTCTCCCCGATCGACCAGTGACGCAACCTCGTTGTCCGGTATGACACAAAGCAGCGACGTGTAGGCCTCCACCACCGGCAGTTCATCGAAGACTAAGTGCGGCACTTGGAACAAAAGGACAATGAAGCTTGGTAAACATGCTCGCAAATAATGAGGGTCAAATATGCGCATAGTAGTTACCTGATGCACCTGGCACAGCAGATTTGTCCGAGGGAACTGGACACTTCAGTAGATCAGTCATAACAGACCAGAATAAGTCACGGCATGTGTCTTTCCATTGTGAATAGGTTTCAGAAGACGCAGTCTCAGTGTCCATCTGTTCTTCAGATCGAATGGGAGATCGCGAACGGTCACGAGACTTGCGGTTGCGTTTGCGGGACCGTTCGCCACGGTAGTCAGGTTGGACGGCGGAGTCGGCCGATTCAGCATAGAAAGTGGGATTTGCGTAGCTTGAAATGGCCGAGACAATGGCGTCCCACGCTGGTGTCAAGTTGACGTGAAGCATTCCAAGCAGGTGATGCAGCGCAATCTTAAGGACGTAAAACCAGTCAGTGAGCTTTTGCAAATTTCCAAATGAACAGCAAGGCTTAAGTTTAACACAGTTGAACGCACCCACCGGAACGGGAAAAGAACTGTTAGATTCTGAAGATGGCAATTTTTGTCAAAAACTAGATGAGACCGCAACAAGTACTGGACTGGTTAAGTGATTGGTATTGCAGTTCAAGTACCGTAAATAATATCTTTGCATGTTTATGCCATGCCCCAGGTTGTAAAAAGTACCAGGATTACTCCGAAAAACGAAGGACAGACTCAAACCCAGTTTAAGTAGATTTCGGCTCCGTTAAGTTGTTAAATCGATAAATTAGGAAGGGCAATAAAAATTGAGAATGACAATGGTAGGTGATAAGGGGTTTGACGCATCTACCTTGGCACCTAACGCACACCCGACAATTCCACTCCGACCACAATGAAGACGAAGAACGTGTATGAGGAATTCTCGAAGAGAATTGGGTATCTGCTTGATTAGTTCGGTGCTTAAGCATCGTTCTACTGCTATCAATGCACCGATCGCGTCTGCGCTTGCTCCAGCCGATGAGAGCAGGGAACGGATAATTCGAAGAGCGTGTAGACGCACCTACAAGCAAACAAAAGCATGGATTACAGGCCTCGTTCATACATACAGAAGCTCAATAGTCGTCCATACCTGATGACTGAATGACAGCAGAAATGGCAAGACGTCTTCGACCTTCAGGTCACCTGTTTCTTTTGTTTGACTCGTTAGATCAATTACACGAAGAAGAATTATGCACAAATCGACATTGTCGTCTTTGATTGAGCTAAACGAAGAAAGACGCTGATTAAACCGGGTTGCGTAAAACGAAAAAAAATGATATGTGACCTTACGCTGCAGTGTTCACGAGGAATCTTATGTCCATAAAGACATCAGATTTCGTGGGAGATAAAAGGCTGTAAGAAAACCAAGCCTCGTATAGTGCTAATAAGTAAACTGCGAGTGCTTGAAATTCGATGGTGTTAGGTGCGGCTTCCATAAGACGGACAAACGTAGTTCTGACTTCTCCAGCGATGTTCCGAAGGACGCTTTCGTTAGGTACTGGGCTATTAAGGTGTTTTGAAATTGGTAAAGTAATCATACCTTAAGTGGGGTAGGCAAAGAGCGGCAGAGAGTTTACGCTCAAGAGGCGCATCCGGATCCACCAGAGGATGTAAAATCCACTCAACGGTCATTTGAAGTGCCTCTGCAGAGTTAAGTCCTGAAGCCAACGATAAACACATCATCTGCCCAGGTGGCTCGGTGATCAGTGGCGTAGAGCATGGGGGTTGACGAACAAGGACTAGGTGCCCGAGAAAATCCAGTGTTGCATCGTCAATTGGTGTTTCACTTGGTCTTTGAATGAGTAAATGGGCAAGAATTTGGAGAAAATCCTAATCCAAAGTTAGTGAGCCAATCAAAACCCACCTTCTCGAAAGACTTGTGTCTCACCATTTGGCGTAAAAGAAAGATCCGCTGGGAATCGGTAAAATTCGACTTGATAAGGACCTTTCTCATTAACCGAGTGCAATTGAAGTGAGCAGAAGACAGTCCAACAAATTTGACGACAATTTCGCCGACGCGAACTAAGGGGTATTTAGAGATGACAGAGTGGAGATGCCCCTCAATCGCTGTTTCGTATCGATGCAAAACGTGCTTTTCCTGCATCAGGTCGATGAGTGCATCACAGCACGAAAGCAATATCAGGATATGAGACACACTGACGACGTCAAAATAGGAAAACATGAGCTTGCAAATGGAGAAAAGCGCATCAGGCTGCAATTTATTGGAAGCCATAGATTTGAGAGAGGATATCAGACAATCTTTGAAAAACTCAGCCGCCTCAAGTGACGTGAATAAATCAGAAGTAGTAGATTTACGATGGTCTACATTAGAGGTTTGTGGCTTTGCTGAAATGTGGTGGTGAACATCAACTGGGCCCTGGACATTTTTACCAATAATAATAGCAAATAGCGACGGAAGAATCTAAATTTCGGAACAAGGAAAATAGGAACTAACCTCTGAAGAACACGAGTGGATATTGCCATCGTGAGAACGCATAATTTCAGCAAGTAATGTTCCCCCAGTATGATAAGAAAAATCAAGATTTTCGTCCTTCATTTGCCAAAGCAAGTGTAACAACTTCAAGCTCGGTATTTTTCTTAAAACAAACGCCATACAACCAGCGCTGAACGTCCGAATAAATTCTTTTTTGTTTGTAAGAAGCGGCAAAAACAGCCTGGTTCATTATCATGAAAATGCAAGCCCATACCGAATAAAGTTGTCGACATCATTGGAAAGGCATCGATGTAGGAAATACACAAGATGTGAAAGACAATTAAAGGCATAATTAAGCACATCCGCGTCTTGCTGGTTCTTACAGATGATGTCCTTAATAACTGAGAAGAATTCTGGAAAGTAAGGATAGAAGTCTTCACGTAGATCGCTCGAGAATGCGCTCAAAAGTCTAGAGAAACAAAGTGAGGAAATTTAATTAACGTACTCCAGAATGGGGCCTGAAGAAATTTCGTTGCATTCAAGCATGAAGTCGCGCAATTGTGCAAGTATCTCATCCTAAAAGGTTATCATTATATCAAAGTACAGATACCTTGTGAAGTAAGACCAACTTCAAATTTAGAACGAATGGAAAAACAGCTTTCCTGAAGTCAGCTGAGAAAATAGTGTTAACGAAAAAAATTACAAAAAATGTTGCTCTTGTTCATATGGGTCCAATGTTCAAGTGTGCTTGCAAAAAAGCTGTCAAGAGTTTCCTAAACATTGACGTAATAATGAAAGGGACTAACGTCATCGACATAGTCATTTCGGCGATATGACAAACGAACCTTCTGTTTGATTTGTTCTTTATATGTAAGAAACTATCAGTGAAATAAAAGCAATTATGTCATGCTTACGTGAAATGTGTTTTCGTTCCTGTGATACGACCCCATGAAACTCAACGAACATGTGAAAAGCGTCGTAATTAGCGCCACCTAAGCCAACCAATTTAAACTCCAAGTTGCATATCTGATTCTTTATGGACAGTGTTCAGCAAGGCACCTATAACTTAATGAATTGTATATGTACTGTTTGTTTATATATTTATTAAAAACTTTTTGATTTGATTCAGTAAAAACAGCTGTACAAAGTGAGTGAACTTGGAATTTCTAACAAATTATGGAGCAGTAAAGTGCTTAACTACTGAATACAAAATTCTTACAACTTCTGTACAAACTTAACGCAAGGAATTGTAAACATGCTCTATTTAGGGTGGTATGTTCTGATTGCAATATGATAACATAACACATCGCTTAAAGTATAGTGAATTAGGTCTCAAACAAGAGCAGGCGTCTCTTGATTTTTCTTTTATTTTATCTGTCACCTTTTCTGTAATTTGCATCTGGTTTTGGTTGTCATAGCAATTGGTAAAAGAACCAGGCAACCTAGACAAATAAGTGTGTTAATTTCACGATTTGTATTATTCCTTGTCAGTGTTAATTTTACTTTACCGTGACCTGAATTCAAACCTAAAATTTATTCCCCCTAATAAAATGTTCAATGTAAGCTTTAACACCAATATCCCTAGACGTAGCAATGTTTTAGGGCTGCGCGTCATTGTCTTGATAAATTGCATAAAACCACTCCCATTAAATGCAAACGCTGTGCATAAAAACAGTCAATAATGACAATTTTAATGGAACGGTGCATTGGTTCTTTGCCCTACAAATTGAAAGTATTAATAGGTACATACTTATAAATCAATGAAGGCTCAAAGAAAATGCATTTTAAAATTATATTGGTCATAACGATATTTAGGGGAATAAATGTAACTACAAAAAATGCATAGAAGTACATGAGATGCAAAACTTACATTACTAGAAAGTGACACTTAATATGAATGATTGAACTGCAAAAAACTGTAGTTATTCGGGTTAATTTAAATCCATGCTCTATTTACTGCATTTACCTCTCGTCGTTTCTTTTTCAGAACGTGCCTAAAAACCTTGCGAGAGCTTCTGTATATCACTTTCTGCGCATCTCTTACCTATTTTACTTTTTACTACTTATCAGTCTATTCGGAGGTCTGTATTTAAGCAAGTTTGCCTACGTTATGTTGGTTACCAACTACATTCATCAGACACGACTTTCAATGCACTGTCGCTGACACCAAAAAATTAGTTGAATTATTCCCTTAAGTATAATATTTTGCTAGTACTTCGTGCTGAACTCTGCTAATAAATTGTGACCTTAACATAGAAAAAAGCATTTAGGCCAACGTGCTTACTTGAAGAAACCCGTGTACCCAATTAACAAGCAAATGCTGTTTTAGCGGATATTAGCTTATCTTGTTAAATAACAGATACGATTCATAAATCAGATTTAGTGCACGATCTTCTTTTTGATGTCCATAAATTTGCGATGTAGCATAAATGACAAAACACTTTATGATAATGCTCAAAATGACATCAGATGTCGTCTTTATGTTCGCTTTTTTGGGACGTATGCTGGTCAATCAAACATTTGGGAATAAGCCCTTGCTTTGTCAGTTAGCTTGGAATTATACCGATTAATTTCTGCTCAGCAGGATCTGAAAATAGGAATTCCTGACAGCAACGATAATTGTAACTTATGGCCTGTTCTAATGCTGTCAATTCCAACACGACAATTCAGCTTATATTGGATTTCCAATCGGCCCAGGAACCTACGTATCCGTGTTTATTTTAACACTATTAGAATAAAGGAACTTAAACAACTTGTGTGTCTTTGCCACAGCCATGAGTTTATCCATTCCAAAATTTGGCAAAAACGATATACAGCGTTGACAGTTTTGTTAAATTGCAGCGGCTAATTTTTAAATGGTTGGCGTTGTCTAACTTAACCTTTTATGTCAACTTGTCGAAATTAAGATCCTATGTCAAGTAGATCCAACATCAAAAAATGTCAATGTTGTTTGAAATCAATGTCAGTCCATTTGCAATTAAGAGCGGTAAAAACAGATAATGGAGTATTTTTAGACTTACCTCGGGATTGCACAGACCGCAATAATATAATTCACAGGCAAAAAGAATTACGACACTCGTTTACACACAAAACTGACAAATAGCCGATCTGTTAATGTCTTAGTACGTCGGCTTTCGTCCGGTAGACACTTGATTACTCTACGTGAATTCAAGCACATGTCAAAACTTGAAATAGTCCCGCAATCGGACAGAAATTTGCTGTCAGCGTTACACATGTTTCATATGGAATCCGATAGTAGGCAGCAGCCGTATGGTGCTAATCCTGCTTTAAACGCAATAAATACACCAGAGCACAACTCTAAACCAAAGCAGCAAATCATGGAGAGGCTTGTTAAAGCCATCTCACATATTGGAGGTAGATATAGCGATGCGGTAGCCCACGATAAGTAGGCCAAATCGTCAAGGGTTTTATACATTATGTAGAATACCCGAGCCCTATCAGGAAAAAGACGGGTACAACAGAACAGGCTTTATTGACCAATCACAAGCCAGAACCACACGTCAGGCACCTTCCATCCGAGTATACCACGCTGGCTGCGCCGCTCATTATATACTACTCCTCATTCGTGTCCTTCTCTGGTTGGCTGCCTATCTTCCTCGCATGTCATTAAAACACAGGGAGACATAGGATAGGCTGAAGACAGCGTGGTTCAGTACGTCTGCGTTCTCAGACGTCGCCACAATTATGTGCTCTCAAGCCTCAATTTTACATTTTCTCATATCCTTGTTGTTATCGCAGCATGTAAGAATCAAGAGCAGAATGCTAAACTCTTTGATGTTGTTTTCTAACTTTCCAAAAGCACTCTCAAATTAATAAGTAGTCTTTGTGTGATTTCAGAGCTCTAAAGCCCGATTCTCTTGTACAGCACGGCTCCGATGCAGATCTAAGGACTGTGGAAATTAGGGTAAAGGAGATCCAAGAAATTCTGTGACTGAAGTTAATTAATCAACTTTGATGCCTTGTATGTAAGAGTAGTTCCAACCGTCGATTTCTTACCAATGCAGTCTATTTCGATCAATGTCTAGGAAGTCTACTCAAAGGTATCTCTAATCGACCAATTAAGACGGCCAGGGTGTTTAGAACTTTCACAGGAACAACGAAAGATCTAGTAAAGCAAAACGCACTCGTTTACCAACGATTGGACTGCTCTATTTAACTCGTAACCAATTTGTTTCTTTTGGGCTAATCCAGTCTTGCAGAAGTCCGCAAAATTGACGACGCTGCAACTTACTTCCTTTTTTAGCTAAGTTTTGTAAAGCGCGAATATGCTATAACACCTTCGGCCTGCACCTCTTTGCAGTCTGTCAAATATTTGAGTACCTTTTTGAAGGTCGGTAATTAATAAATTGAATTAAATATAAGCCACTGATATATGCAAAGTGATTGATTTCCGGTCGATTAACATCAAGTGACCCACGCCTCTGTGAAGACATTCCACCATTTTCCAATGACAATCTTCACATTAGAGGTGCGGACAGCACTATAAGCGACAGTTGACAGCGTTTCTACGATTAAGAACTTCAAAAAGCAGCTAAGATTTAGATCAAAGTCAATTTGGTAAATACCCCATTTCACTTATTGTGAATCGTGTTTATTCACATCCCGATAACCAGTCGATCCACCTCCGTTCCCCTTTTCGCAGCATGTCGTCAGCCGCGCGGATCCTCAACCCCCCTTCATTCACACTATTTATCCTAGAATATCCTCACACACAGGTCTCGATGTCAGCGCATGTGGACCTACACAACCAAGCTATAAATACACACGCGAAAAAAACCCCACACAGGACACAACGACACCAGTTTTGGTTGATTTCTGAAGTAAAAAATTGTGGCCCGTCCGGTCTTTTTCTTCATCGCGGGTGTCAGAGAAACGTAATCGGGCTAGGGTTATTTCCGTGGCCCCGGCATGGTTTAAGACCACATGCTGGTGTGGAGTAAGATTTTCAGCCAACCAGAAAAGACATGAATGAGGAGTAGCATATAATGAGCGGCGTAGCCAGCGTGGTGGACTCAGATGGACGGCGACTGAAGTGGGGTTCTGGCTTGTAAGTGGTCAATAAAGCCTGTTGTGTTGTACCGGTATCCTTTTATGGTTGGGCTCGGAAATTCTGCAGCCAAATGTTTATCGAATTATCGGTTTACTTGCAACGTCACAGTAGTATAATTAAATAAAGTCGTTAAAAAGTAAAATCAAAAATGTCAAGTTGATGAAAGGAATGGGCTGATTAAGAGGACAAATCCTTTCGTGCGATAAAGTACTAGTAAATGCAGAAGTAAACTAAGGGTATATTCAGTATCTTACGGCCACCTTATGTGTCAATCTATTGAAATACGAACGGTGAATCAAACAAATACTGAAAGCACCAAACACGTTAAGTGTCACGAACAAATATTAACCATCGCAGTCAATTTTTTTTACAAATATTAGTTTAAAAGAACAGGAAATCTTCTAGAAGCAAAATAATTCTTAGAGAACGGCAATATCATACGACTCAATAATAATAGCACCGCATCCATTAAAATAAGTTGTAGGGCACATAAACATCCAAGATTTATTAACATGGCTTCATATGCATATAGTATCCCTTATACTACCTACACCAAATGAATGGTCAATTAATTGAGTTAGCTTTCGACAACTGAAGTCATTATTTTACCAAAATGATTAATAAATAAATCAAATGGCATTCCACAGGATCATTCTTTATTTTTTTTCTGTTTAAGGGTAATTTAATGAAGTCGTTTTTTTAATTAATTATACTTCCAAAAATATTTTATATAAAGGTTGCTACAATTCATTTTATTTCGAATTTGTTGGAACCATTTTCTTCAGTATTCATGCATAAGGACTACAATTTTTTAACTTTTATGCATTAATAATGATTTTAATCCTGTTTTTGTTGTTTTTTGTAGATCTTACCTTAATTCGTTGTCATGACCGTGTTTTATCAAATTTGAAGCACAACCGCAATTTTTGAGAATAGTTGGTTGAGAGCCTCACAATGGTCATATCTAGGTTTCTTTTGTAGCTAGCTTTGTCTTAAATTGGAAACTACTAACACTTCGATGAGAATTCGACGTCGGTTGTCTATTAACACTGCAGAAATTTCGGTTAGTAGTATGCCTTTTTATATAGTAATTTTCAAATGTCCATTGCTAATTATTTAATGTGCACTGAGATTTATGCTTTTTATCTTTTCGTGTATTATTTTCTGTATCGAAGCTTTGTTTTAGTCTTTTGTAGAGAAGATTTTCGAGGCTTTATGGCAGTGATTGATACTAATGAAAATCAGCCAAAATTGTCTCACTTCCAAATTTTCCAATTGTCATTCTCATAACTGTGCTTTACTTTACACAGATTGTGTTCTTACTATTGATACTTGTTTTAAGCGCAGAAATAGGCTGTTTGTGAGGCAGTACCTTCTGCTTGTACTGCTGTTCATTTTGTTCTAGTTTTATTGGCCACAATTTCGATTTTCGCGTTGGCAAATGTCAATGCTTTATTAGAATGCGCGTTGGGTCGTGACTGGACAGACCCTAGTTTGCAACTCTTTGTCCACAGTTTTTAACTGCTTGTTTTTTTCAGACATCTAGTAAAGCGACTCTCTCAGACGAGTCTTTTAACCCTATTAAGCGTGGTCGCAAGTCAAAGGGCCTGAGAGATCTTAATACCTCGGATTTTGAGGCTAGTTCCATCCCTTCCAAAAGACGCTACACTTTAAGAAAAAAAGTATGTTTGAGCATTGGTCTATTGGACATTGTTTCTCTTTCTTTCTTTCACCTTTCCTTTCGATCATAGATTCCTATAGATCTTGATGTACCAAGTCCTTCCAAACGTCATCTCGAGCGTCAGGTTAGTGACGACACAGATCCATCCAAGGTGGACAGCACCAGTGGGCTTGAAGATTCATCGTCATCTAAGCCGAAGCAATACCGAGATTTGGATGGACGATTCAAAGGTCGTCGCACCATCGGAAAACGTACTGTTTTTTGTGAGTTGCCTAAGTCTGTTTATGATTTTTTGAAACCCCTTTGAAATCCTAATACATCTTCCATTTCCTTTAAAATAGTGGTTTCGCGCTTGCGGTCACTTGAAAATGAACGTTTTCAAAACGAGTCTCAGGATGCGGACCCGAAGGAAGATAAAAATGTCCAAAATCTTGATCATACTGCCATCAGTGCTATAGAATCTCCCCGGCGTCTTCGCCCTCGCGACTCATCAGTGGCACCTATTTCATACTCTTTTAGGGTTTTGGTGCGTGTTTATTTTTTTTTTGCTAACTTCTACCTTTTTTCCTTGGGGTGAAAATTTTCCATTCAATTACTAATCATCCCACCCGATAGTTTTCTGTTAATAAACCCTGTTAGAGCCAACTCACTTTCCTTAATTGCGTGTGGTTCTGTTTAAACACTGCCACAAAGTCTTGTAACCTGCTGAGCGCGCATTTGTGCTTAAGTAGTTTATTACCACAAGCCAAACAAGTTACCTTGCTGATAGTTTTGCGATGTTGCAATTTTGAGAACTGGTGGGTCTACCGAATGTTGACAGAGCTTGTGGCATTTTTATATTTCCCTTTTTCCTATGACGTCCCGACGCGTGGTCTCGTATTTAGGAGAAGCGCAGTGAAGTGTTTTCGCATCATTTTGAGGATCGTACACACTCAAAGCCCACTAGAAATGAGGAGGTGGGGGAGGATGATGGCGATGAAGACGACGCCACCGAGGAAGGTGAGGAGACTCCAGGTGGACGCCGGTATCCCATGCGAAATCGCCGTCACCCTGATGTCTACCAAGGTACGAGCCACCCACATTTAGAGTTCACGTTGTCACGCTTCAACACTAAGACTGTTGAGATAAGGCGACAAGAATGTACAAAGTCAATGGTGGTGCTGAAACTCTTAGCAGACGTTCTGAGTCCACTGGCTTTATGTCAATGTGTAGCGGTATTATGTCGTTCGTAAGCACACGCTAGTAATTAAAGATGATCAATTTGGATGTGTCTGTTTATTTCGTACACCCTAGTTCCTGACTTCTGTGTTTTTTTTGTGCTCACCACGTTTGAGTTCATTGACTGGACGGTCGTCTATCATATCAACTAACGGAACTGTCGCCGCTTTATATTTGCCCGACCCATTTAATCAAATATTGGCACAATTTTCCCGCTTGAACCATGGGTTATACTATTGTTTTTCAGTTGCTCCAAAAAAGGTGAATGGAACGTCTCACAGAGATTGGCTAGCTGGAACACCATACAGGGAAAATCGAAAACGTGGTCGCCATAGGGATCATTTGTGAGTACTTGTACTGTTTTTTCTCCATATTATTGGTCTGGCGCCTAGTTTCAGACCCTCTTTGTGTCATAGCTTCTTATTAGTTGTTGTTGTTGTTGTTAGCAATTTCTTGTTTACCCTATCATGCCCTATTGGTCAGTTTGAGTAAACAGTTATTTTGGGAATGATAATCAGCCTTTAAAATGTTTTCGCGTTTTGTGGCTGCCAAACCCTCATCTTAATTATACTTAACGGTCAGTTAATTCGCAGGGACACTACCCAACAAATAAAACTGACCAAGATGTCCTTGGATTGGACTCTATCATACAAACACGATTCTTAAATACTAATTTGAGTCAAACCATACAGCCGGACTTTATGTCATAGATTCTCTGGCAAGAAGTTGACAAGATCTGTTCTCTTATCGATCTCACAACTTCTTACCATCTGATACGACCCATTATTGTCTCTCGAGACGCCTTTAAGACAAACTTACTTCGAACTGTCCTGCGTAAACGACGTTAAGTATTTGCTTATATCAATCACCGACATTGTGTCATTCGGTATGTTGTAGACGTCACCACAACGACAACTTCTCTTCGTCCACTGGCTCTCTCTCTATTGACGTCGACGACGACGAGACAGGAGGGGAAGGCGAACAGAAGGGTGGATCCTTTGTTCACCAGGGCTACCACAGCCGCCGCCGTCGTCTCCACCGCCGCCCTTCGAGTCACCAGGATGACCTGCACCAGTCCTCCGCCTTCATGAAGTCCTTCCTGCGACAGGCAGCTGAGGGCCTCATGCCGATTAACTTTAAGCCACAGGACGTAGAGGCTAGTTGGACTTTGCCTATTAGTCCTCATTCTACGAAGTAGTTGTAGTACCTTGAAGGTTGTGTTCTGTTCGTCCTCAGCGAAAGTGGCCTCTAACTAGTGCGCTTCAAGCATCCGCTTCAGCCGTCTACTCCCACAGCTTATCGTTCCTCTACGTTGGTCTTTTACTGTGTTCTTAGCTAGTCTTTGTTCATTCAACCCCAATCTGATTTTTTTGCAGATTGTGCGTGGTGTTGTAGCTCACGTTAAAGATGGCTATCGCCCAGCTCCTAGTGGTTACACTGCTCAGTGACAAACTGATGAACCAGTACCTTCGTGAAATTACTGTTTGCTTTTTTTTCTTTAACGTAAATGGCGATAAAGGGCTTTATTGTTCTCGTGATTTTCTAGTCGGGACCACTTCGTAGCCGTCTTGTTGCCGGAGCTGGTTTAACCGATATTGAGCCCATGAACTTCGATACTGGAGTGACATTCGCCGACGTAGGTGGCCATCAGGCGCAAATTAGGGCCCTGCAAGAGTCCGTCCTATTGCCTCTTGTCTACCCTGAGGTCTTCAACAGCTTCGGCATCGAACCCCCTCGTGGCGTTCTCTTCTACGGCCCCCCGGGTGAGGTCTCCACTTGTCGTTTTTGCGAACGCACACTCTACCGTCATCTTGCAAGGCTTTTTGTTAAAGAAATATGCGTACTTGAGTATTTCGTCTTTCAAAGCTTCCACGTTTTAACTTTGTTGCACCTTGGACCTTGAAAACGTGTCATCGAATTCACCCACCCATTGTCCTCTTGTCCTCTTCACCATTCGCACAATCGAAAATTTATATTCGAAATATCAGTTAGACTGGTGACGTTCAGCCGTTCAGATGGATTTTGTGCAAATAAAATGTGAATATGTCAGCACTTACTACTTTGACGCCACATTCACTGAGCCCTGTATCTGTACCTTAATCCCTGTTTCGGCTCAAATTGTAGTTCCCTATTTTGTTTTTTTCCAAGTTTTCACTATTTTTCAGTCAGAAGCCCGATGTTTTGATTTTTGTGGATATCCGGAACTCGATTATCCCAATAACCACTTGATTATTTCCCCTTTTGTTATTGGCCGTTAGGAACCGGAAAAACACTGCTCGCTCGGGCCCTAGCCAATGAGTGCAGCCGAATGACAGCTACCGCGGCACGTCCCTTGGGAGCCAGCGCTCCCGACCAGGCAGGCTCCCTGCCCGCCAACACCGCCTCTCGCCCTATCGCCTTTTTCATGCGCAAAGGCGCCGACTGCTTGTCTAAGTGGGTTGGTGAGTCGGAGCGGCAGCTACGGATGCTCTTCGACCAAGCCTACCGCATGCGGCCTTCGATAATCTTTTTTGACGAACTTGATGGGCTTGCACCCGTGCGATCATCCCGACAGGTAAGGTGAAATCCCAATCGATGGGTCTCTGCCTGGACTTGTTACAAGTTCATTGTGAACTGACACTGTGCCTCACTATGCTTCCTATCGTTGGAGATACTACTTGCCATCGTTTGTGTAGGTAGCGGCTTTTTGATCTAAGCTCTCTTGTGTTTTTTGCTCATTTCTGTTTCGACCTTATGGAGTAGGGTGGCCACTAGGATTGCCAATATCCACAGACGCACCGTCGTGTGGATGGTGCCTTATGGAACCAGTGGCTGTCCTCACCATTCCATGTCCTTTCCTTTGAAGGACCAAATTCACTCGAGCATCGTGTCGACTTTGCTGAGCCTAATGGACGGACTGGATCGGCGAGCGGAGGTAGTGGTCATCGGCGCGACCAACCGTCCCGACGCCATAGATCCAGCTCTTCGTCGACCGGGCCGTTTCGACCGGGAATTCGCTTTTTCCCTCCCCAACGAGGCGGTGCGGCGCAGGATTCTCGAAATCCATACCTCCAAATGGAAGCCCGCTCCCTCCCCTTCGGCAAGTTCCTGATTTTTTTCTCAGCACTGTTCTAACCTATTCGGTATCCTTCAAAGTTGCCGAAAGCCGTCTAGGCCCTGTCGTCACATTGCCGTAGATTAGTCGGAGCTTCGCTCTTAATCAGCCACCCTGACTGCTACTACTCAATTCCTCTGTTGTCAGGTTGGACAGAATCTTTGATAGTCTGTTGTCAAATGCTCTGCACCTCCTAGGTGTATTTCCGCTGGCAGATTTTCTTGGGATCTCGCGTTTGTGTCTGGTTCGTGGCGAATAATTGCATTTCCCTAGACTGTCTCCCTACTGGTCGTAAACAGTAAATAATTCACGTTGCTAGTCATCACAGCCTGCTACATTTCTCGACCGTGATAATTTACTCAACCCTATGTCTCCTCACCGGCACATCTTATTAGATCGCTTGCTTTTTGCCCTTAGTTGCTGGACGAGTTGGCTGAGAAGACATCAGGCTTTTGCGGGGCGGATCTGAAGGGTCTGGCCACGGAGGCCTGTCTTTGTTGTCTCAGACGCCAGTATCCGCAGGTGTATGAGAGCAAAATGAAATTGGCTGTCAATCTCAAGTACCTGGTTGTAAGTTGTCCTTTTCTCTCTTAAAACTGTATTTTGTTGTAACGCAGATTGCCTTCTTATGGTCCAAGTAACAAGATTTGAACGTCAGTACAGACTCTGTTAGGTTCAGGCACTTTCGTTAAACTAAGGTTAACTTAGCGTTGTTGTAGAACTGGACCAACCATAAGTTAGAATAATATCTCTGGCATAGGCATACGCGATGTAAAACGTTTGGTAAGGTTTCTTAACATTGCTGGTATGCTATGCCTAGGTTGATCGCTTGGATTGGCTGGAGGCTCTCCGGCTAATCAGACCAGCCAATCTCCGCACAGAGTTGGATGTCGGCAGCGCCGGGTCAGCCTCCGCAGCTGCTTTAGCGTCGACCCTGCGTCGACCACTAGTTGAAGGAACACCAAACCAATCGGAGGGCCCGACGTTCCACCTGCTCGAACCAATCGTAGATCAGCTGACGGCGCGCATCGCACGCGCACTCTCTGGTGCCGAGGCCTGCTCGTGTGTGCGCGACGCGGCTGCGGATGTGATGCTAACCTGGGACAGCCATCAGACACCAGTCACTGTCTCCCCTATGTTGGTTAGGCAGGTGGTCGTCGAAGATAACTTTCTTCCATCGTGTGTATTCCCCGCGGTTTGGCGACGGCTTGAGTCTGTAGAGGTGAGTGAGCAAAATTAGAGGTGTGCATAAGTCGTTTATTGTTAGATGGGTGAAGTGTGTTAGGGAAGACTTGGCTGCCATAGACTGTACTCGTACGTTCTACATCCATCTTCTTCTGTTCCATGTAAACTCCATCGTGCTCAGCGTGGTACATTGTCAGGAACCATTCGAAACCATTGTCATCTGAGCCCATTCGTAACCTAATGCCCAACACTTCCTTAGACGAGCAAAGCTTGTTCATTTTTGCTTATTTCCGATTTCCACTTCATGCTCATTAGCTGTTGCCGGTACAGTAAAACACTTCTATTAACCCTCCTAGTTTGTCCTCAGCTAGTCAGCCGCAATGTGCGAGGCGTTTACCAGTAGGTGAACGTTCATTTGTTTGCTTGTTAATTTTCACGGTAGGATAATATCTTCGGGACGTTCATAACATTGAGCCCGGTGTTGTGTAAATCAGCTTCATTATTTGTGCTGACGCAACGGATTTAATCGAGTTTCGGTACGACTTAGAAAACTAGTTTTAGTCCAGCGGTAATGCATCGCAGAAAGACAAGTGAGTTTATTGAAGTGGACTGCGTCGCGGCATTTTTGTGGTGGGGCAAAACACATACAAGGTATGTAAAAAAAGTAACGGAACGTCGATGTATCCATGGGTTGTTGATGGAGTTAGTCTTTAACGACAGTTGAGGCCCCTCGAAATCTCGCTAACTTTTGCCTGTGTTATTTGGGTGTTAAAACCAACCGAAATGCTCCAATAATCCGATTTTTCTTACACGTGAAGACAACACGGTTGCAGCGCTGCCGTTTATTTCCTCCCTGTTGCTTGAACACGTCTGGAACAGACACGTACAAGTTACTAGCTGCTTCAGATTAACCTTCGACGCCTAAGTGACACATGCCACCATTTAAATGGGAATCGCAAATTTTGAGAATGGACCTCACCTCGATTTTAACCACTATTTTATTGGATGCATGGCTTAATTTGTGCAGATTTTTTATTCAAGTTTAAAATTACATTTAAAATGGAAATATTTTCGCGGTCTTTTGTGGTTTTAAAAGGATCGAACTCGGGGTCTCAGAACACCTACCGACATTACCTCTCAGAATAGCAAATTTTACGACGGCAACTCTTAAAGAGCACACTTGATAGCACTGCATTTTATACGACTTCCAACAAGGAAAACTGCTCTTAAAGCACGGGAATCAATTTGCAGTGTTCTTGGTGATGACGTTGTGTCCTAGGAAACGTGTAATTATTGGTGCAAACGTTTGAGAAGTGGTGATTTCAGTCTTTGTGATCGGCCGCGCCTCGGACAGCAGCCTCGAAAGGTTGAAGATGCAGAATTGCAAGCTCTACTGGTTGAAGACTCAACACAAACGCAACTAGAGCTTGCAGCTCAATTAGGAGTCATCCAAACAGCGCCTGCACCAATCGTTTGCAGCAAATGGGAAAAATAAAAAAAATTGAAGTTGTGTCCCACATGCATTGATCGAACACAACTTCCTAGGTCTACGTATGAACACATGCCCTTCACGGCTTGTCCGGGGGCAACAAAAAGGAATTCTTGTGGAAAATTGTGACGGGTGATGAAAAGTACGTTTTTTTTGCAAGAATCCCAAGCGTAAAAAGTCGTAGGTAGGTCCTGGGCAGCCCAGTACGTCGACGCCGAAACGGGGAATCTACTTGAAGGAGGTTCTCTTCTGTATCTGGTGGAAAATGAAGGATACATTTTATTAAGAACTGGAAACGTGTTAGGCGGTGCCTGGGGAACGCTACAGCCGACAATTGAGCAAACTGAGCGAAGACCTTGATCAGGGAAGGCCATTTGCTGAATAAGGAAACAGATAAGGCATGCTGCTGCACGACAATACTTGACCTTACGTTCCTCGCGCGACTCAGAAGACCCTCTTGAACTCGGGATGGGAAGTACTCCCACACGTGGCATATTCACTAGACTTGGCCCCATCCCACTATTATTTGTCCCGGTTAATACGGCAGCAGCACGCCTTAGTGGGTAAACAGTTCAAAACACTGGATGATGTGTCTAAATTTGTCGATGATGACTCTATTGCCTCGAAGCCTGCAAGTTTTCTTCACGACGGCAATCCTACATTACCTGAGAGATGGTGCAGCGTCCTAGAAAACGAAGTGTGATATCTCCCAGATTAAGTTCGTTGTCTCTGGTTGTTTTCATGCTAAATAAATTCGCTGAAAAATCTATGCAAATTAAGTCATGCACCTAATATCATTGATGAAGTGACATCCAAACTACTCTGTACTTCTGCATCGGTGCTGCCTAGGCCCGCCAAGCCAACTTTCGCCGCTTTTTTTAGGTCTACACAATCAACCTCTCAAGCCTCTTCACAGCTTCGGCGTCGGGCGAGGCCTGTGTGGTGACGTCGATTACGCAAATCGTGGCCGCCGCTCGTCGAACCCTCATTAACCAACACAGGCAACCCTGCGCCACCGCCTCCCCTTCAATTCCCCTCTCAAGCCTCCTTGGGGTGGTGCTTTTTGTGCCCCGCATTGATCGCTTACTGGCACGTCTTCCGACTATCGCCTGCCACCATCTGTTGGAGCGCCTTACCGAAGCCACGACCACCTCGGAGCCCGGCTGCAGCCGACGCATCGTATTGGTTGCAACAGTTAAAAACCTTCCCCCTGCCATCACCATTGCGACAGGCGAGGAACCCCAACACCAACAGCAATCGCAGACGTCACGGACAAGTCCATTGTCAATCCGCGTTCCCCCTTCCATCTCACCTCGCGTGACGACTCCTAATGTGCCAGGTATCTCGAATTCTGCCGAACTGTTGTCCTGGATTGCATTCCATTAAGCGTTGTGAAACACTCACTTGGGTTACCATTCGATGCGTACTTAGATCCAATTGATTAATTAGTAGATTATCCTCCCAGTTGTTGTAGGTTCCAGCCTATTATTCGCGTTGACATACCCTCATACCCACCCCATTCCATCTGCGAAACTGCCTTCCTATGTTTATTTTCAAGCACATTGTTGAATCCGACATGTATTGCAGTCTTAATGGTTCATCCGGTTGTGAATTATGATATTCCACTGAGTTCCATACCACGGAGCTTTGAATCTCGAATCGATTTCACAAGTGGGTTTAGTTACCGCATAATGCCAAGGTTATCTGTCGATCTGTAGAACTGCATTCGTCTTTGATTGAGATAACATGTCCCATTAAATCCTACTTTTAGACGCTGCCATTTGCAACGGTCATGCATCAGCAAAGACGGTAGCCTGGTTGCGTGATCAACAAAACGGGCGCCGACATCGTGCCCGACCGCCTGCGGCATCGATTTTGGAGGAGTCAGCGGCGGACGAGGAGGTGGAGAACCAGCTGCAAACGCGAGGGCCCTGTCCACCCTTCAACACCCTGTCTGCCGCCCTCACTGGGGTCTCCCCGCTCTCCTCTCCCGGCGGCGGCGGTGGCGGCTGCGGTGGCAACGCCGACGTCATGGTAAACCATAATCTTCGCCGTCTTTTCCGCTTCCCCCACATGGAGAGAATCAGCCTTCGTGGACCTGGCGAAGATTTGCGGCGCAATTATCTCCGGCCTGTGTTCTTTGATTGGTTTGATCCCACCATTGCCGCCTCAATCTCTGCCACTGTGGCCGAGCATTCTTCGTCCACGCGTGATAGACTTCTTCAAAGACCGTAAGTGTGCTGAAGTAAATGTCCTTTTTTCGGCGGGGTTGTTCCAAAAAAGCCACCCAGCTTGTGAATGCTGTTTAATCTTGTGATGCAGAAAAACGATGTTGTGCTGATTGAGGTGGGTTACTCGGTGGGTGGCAAAGAACCGATTGTCAACGCAATGTAATTAACCTGCCTACCTAATTCTAATACCATTTCATTCTTTTCGTGCTAATCTCAGCCGCCCTTTAACGACTACTTACTGTGATGCTAAGTGTTTGTTTGTCTTTCGTGTTCAATTCACTCGATTTTGTGGTTATTCATGCCACAAACAGCTGAAGTGCGAGGTCAGTGATCCGTGCAATTGAACCCGTTATTATATGCCGGCTAAACTATTGCTCCACTGATTCCCTTGAAGCCGAGTCGGCGCGTTGAGCCCTGCAATGCTTTTTTAGGCCAACTCCTCAGCCAGTAGACGAGTCGACCGCGGACATTTTGGCCCGACGCCAACGCACCATGACGTCTAGGGAGGTGGCGAACGCGCGGGAGACGCGCGACCGCCTGCTGCGGCAACTGCGGGTGCAGCTGCGGTGCGTTGTGGCGCACCTGGCGCGCGACCGACGCTTCGCCGTCTTCACGCGCCCCGTCCAGCCCGACGAGGCGCCCGACTACCTCGAGGTCATCAAGCACCCCATGGACCTGGGCACGGTTCGCGACAAAATCGACGCTCACCGCTACACCTCCGTCAGGGAGTTCGCCAAGGTATTGTCTTTAACAAAGCAACTATGCCCTCTTCGCGCAACATCACTTCACTTTTTTTCAGTTTCCGCTAAATATATACATTCGGGTCGGAAAAAATTGTTAATGCTGATGTTGTTGAAGTGAATGGTTCGCTCGCGTTGTTTTTTTAGTTTTGGAGTCTGGATGCATATCATTGCAGCCTCATGAATTTTTTATGCGTTGGTTGTTTTTTTCCTTTTTGTGGCACACTGTTGAAATTTCGGCCCGCAAGTTTATGCCCAATTCAAACTACTTTGTTCTTACCTTTCCGATTTTCGTTCGAGGTGTTATTTCGTTTTCTCATGATAGACCACTTTTGAGCCAATCCATGCGACCTACTATCACTCTAGTATCAGATGAAACATCTATTGTTTTACCAGTACTTGGAGGTCTTCTAGAGTTTAGTTCGTGGAAGAATGTGTTTACAGTCCTGAACGTTGGATCTGGTTATAAGTCATGAGGTGCTTCCTCAGCGATGTCCGGCGTCTCGGTTAAACATGTTACGGCTTAGCACTGCTCAAACCTCTTTTTATTGGTCGGGCCCGTTCATCGAACTGTTCTCACAAGCAATAGCATCACCAAGGTTTTTCGCAGCATCTTTCCAAATGATTCGTAGAAGGTTTATTTAAGGTAAGGAAAGTTGGGAAACATCTTGTTACTACTAGCCGGTTACCAGAATGGCACACTCAGAGAATCAATGCGCGAATTCCTTGTGTAACGCAAAATCCACATTCCTAGCCTGGACTAAGACAGAAAACTCTTGCCACCTCAGGTAACGACCTAGTGTGGACGGTTTGCATATGACTTGGGTGACCTTAACTCGATGAATGAACACTGATGGCAGCTGGCAATGCGACGTTGAAAGTGTGACATTGCAAACGATGTGACTTGAACGGTTGTTAGCATCAACTTTAGGAAGCCGTGGCTCTTAAATCTGTAGTTTGTCATTTTCCATAATGAAACGAGTTTGAATCGTTTCTGAATCAAATAATTATCTTCCAACTTGTAAGCCGTGCTATTTTGCGCGACCGTGAGTGTCGCGATTGCTTGAAGTTGTAATTATATGGTCGTTAGTCGTCATCGCACCCTTAATATGTGGTATTATCGTGCGTATTTTGACATTTGGCAGCAAAAAGATCGGAGTGGTGTCTTGCATTTAGGATTTGGAGCTTATCTACAAGAACGCTCTGAACTACAACCCCCCAAACGTCCCTCGAAGTCGTGAAATCAGAGGACGCGCATTTGAGTTCTGGGATGCCGCTGAGATCCTGCTAGAAGAGAATCTTTCTCCGCCGGACTTGGAGGAGCAAGTCGCCGAGGTCGGTTTTTTTTTATATTCACTTGTGTGTGTGTGTGTGTGTGCATCACTTTCCTCATTATTCCTTGTTAATCGCCTTTCGAATTACCGAGCGCTAGCACCAAGTCGATCTGGCATGGTTTGAATGCGTGCCGGATCATACATTGACTTAAACATTGTGTCGTGCTTCTCTCTAGGTTCCACCTGAGTCCAGGTTTTTCGCTGTCTTTGTAGGCAATCGCCGCCTGTCCTATGAGTGGTCCCCAAACTGACCAATCAAACGAGTCCAACTCGCGATCCCCTCCTCCACTCCCTATTGGTCGACGGTACAGTCGACGTCTCCATGTAAGCCCCATTAATGTTGTCTGTCCGTGAGTCAGGCTCATAAAGATGTTTGAAGCAGCGAATCCTG